TTAATTAATTAATTTTTGCAGAAAGAAGTTTATTGTTATCTGTACTTGGGACAATTATAAAATATTTTCCAGAAATTTTTAAAGTACAAGAATATTCTATAATTTTTCAGCAGTTAAGGAATGATTTCAAGAAACAGGTATATTTTATTATTTAATATTTTTGGAAATAAATGTTTTTATTTAAAACATTTATGTAAATAAAATAATAATTTTAGTATAATCCACAAACTATGGCCCATTCAATTGATACATTTCAAGTATATTTAGATGTTTTCTCAAATATATTAGTAGAACTTCCAAAAGAAGTAGGAGAAAAACATTATGAGGAACTATATAAGTGGGTTAAAGAATTAAGTCATCCTGAAAAATACTCAGTTAAAAAAGTTTCAATGAGATCAGCAATTAATTTGTTGTCTAAACATATGCATCTGTTTTGTCAATTTGTTTATTGTGATTATAAGTACTGGTATGATTTATTGATAAATCTTGCACAAAACAAAAATGTACAATGCAGTGAATGTGGAAAACGTGCTTTAAGAAATTTTTATAACGAAATTGGAAATATTTTAAAACATAAAACTTCTGAGGATGATAAAGCAATATTCTTGGTACTTTTATATAGATTTGTTACATGAAATTATTATTTAATACTGTTGATAGTATACTAACATTTATTATATTTTAGTATTTTAAGAACCTTTTTGAAGAACAATTAAAAACCAATCATCATGTAAATTCAAGTATGTTACGATTTATTATATATGGATTTAGTCAAATGGCTGCACCATGTAAAAGATATCTTACTAATAGTGATGTGAAAAATATGTTTTCATTGATAGCTAATTGTGCTATGCTACTCTGTTCAAAGTATGAGCTACATATTCACTTTTTCAGATACCTCATATTATTAATTTATTAATATTCTAAATTTTGCAGAGATAGCTTAGAAACAATACATTTAGAAAGTATCTGTGATTATCAAGAAGCTCTTTCAGAAGTAATATTGCATACATCAGGTCTTTCAATTGATCAAATTAATATAATTACAAAGCTTAGCATTCTTTTAATTAAAAGGTTTCCTGATCTTCCTATAACTAGTCAAAATATTGCAATATCGTCATTAATAAATACAATCGTTAACGTTGGAATAATCAGTAAAAATCTTTTACATGAATTTCTTTATAATTTAAGTAAGTATACACTTTATAAATATTTACAATAGAAATTGAATATTTTTATATTTTTAACATAATCTTTGAATATTTAGTTTATAACGGCATAATGTGGACCTGTTCACATACTTTGTTCATCGATGCTGAATTACAACGGGAATTGAATAATCTACCAGAGCAACCAAGATGCTATAAAAGTTATTTGCCATTATGGTTACAATTGCTAAATGCAGACAGATATGGATGTCATAGACAAACTGCTCAAGATGTAGTTGATTCTACTATATATGTGGGAATCATATTAATTGATAAATTAAATTTGAGCACAAGAACAAAAGAGGATAATATATTCTCAGATGCCTCCTTTTCTCAAATTGCTGAAAATGAAGCAGATTTTCGAACATTTGTTAATATCGTAGATTTATACGTTGACATGATCAACCACTTACAGTCTTCTTTATTTATAAATACAATGCACAAATTTTTACTTAAAATTATCACCATATCTTACAAGCACCATTTAATATCAGGCTTTTACAAATTAGTACATGCAACTTTTAGACATATTTGCGACTTGAATAATGATGAAATTGAAGCAGAAACATTAGAATTGTTATATAAGTATTTAATGAATGCATTGAATTTGATTCCTACATTTTCTAATGAATTGTTAACAACATGTTTATACTTAATTTTAAATGTGCCAATGATATATGTAGAAAGAATATTGAACAGTACAATTCCAATATTTAAAATCGCTTTTACTATTGGTATTAGCGATTTTGAATTAGCTTGTACAGCTTTAAATGCATTGGAAAAATGGTCAAATCATTTAAATAATCGACATATAACAGTGTTTTTGCAAGAAATAGTGCCATTTCTAGAACCATATTTACACAGTAGAGAAAGTTCTGTGGAATTTCTACAAGACATCATAAAAACAGAAAGAAAAGATATTAAACGAATAATATTAAGAGATGATGAAAATACTTTAGAAAGATTTCAAATGAGAATTTTGTTGTTTATTGCTTCACTTGATACCAGTATAATAATAAATTTCATATATAAAAGATCTATGGACACAGGAGCAACTTGGGATAAGAAAGATTTGCTTAAATACTCATTGGTATTCTCAGATACAGAGCTAGAAATCTATTTTGATAAAATTTTACCAAGAATAATTTTATTGGCTCAAAATTCTGGGGATAGACGGACGAAAATAATCGCTTGTGAAGTACTTCATTTTATTGTAGCGTTCGTTCTTGGCAAAACATCGCAACATTTAATATCGAATCCAGATCGATTTATTTCTGTCTATGTAACGTTATGTCCAGCTTTATTGAATTTAGGATGTGATCACGATGAAGCAGCTAGAAAAATTTTTCAACCATTAATGTTACAATTAATGCACTGGTTAAGCTCAAAGTTCATGCTCAAGTCTTCAGTTGCTATGCATTTTCTCGATTTGCTTTTTAATGGTCTATGCAATGACTCTAATCCATGTCTTAGAGAATTTTCTGGGATGTGCTTAGCTGAATTTACAAAATGGTCCATAAAACAATCTAGTGATGAAGCTATAAATCAGTCGAATATTTATGAAGTTATATATAAGATGACGAATTTTGCTGTTCATCCTTCTGCCTCTAAACGGATAGCGGGTGCAACAGCTTTCAATCACCTTTATACTATCTTACGCGAAGATGAGAAAATTATATCTATATACTGGTTGGAAATTTTATACAGTTTTGTCAGAAGTTTAAATGGTTGTAGTGATCCATCAATTATTACTGCTCTTGATCATGTTGAAAGGGTTCTAATAGCAAAGAAACATGTGTTAAATGTTAAACAACACAGTCGTAGGAAACCTTATGAATTTGAAAGCTCCACTTTAACTGATGCTGTGAACTGGTTGCTCACACAGTGTGGTTGCTTGGATCAATGTTGTCGAACAAAATGCATGAAACTAGTTGTAAAACTTTCTGAACATCTAGCAGACTGTAATTCAATTAAAATAGTGATAAATAACTATATTGAAACTCAGGGAATTGAAGCATTAAACCATATTATTTTAAGCGAATTACCAAAGATAGAAAATTTATCTGTTAATCACATATTACCTTTTTTAAGAAGTTTGGATTGTTATATTTGGTTGATAAAAGACAATCTATTGAATGTAGAATATTTATTTGGTAATTCAAATTCACAAAGGGAAGTAATTTTTAACTGTGCTAGAAATTTCATTCATGTGATAAACAGAATTAAAATAGAAAATAAGGAAGGTGATCTGGTAATATTATCAAAAGAATTTGAAGATTTACAAACATTACAATGTAAAACAATTTTAACTGTATTTGATTTTATACAAATTCTATTAAATTTTGATGTAAGTATATTATATTATCTTTTATAATTAAAAAAGATCGTAATATTAAAATTTTAACTCTTGACTTTCTTAATTTTAGGATAATTTCATCCCAGATTTCTTTTTCAATCAAGATTTCTTTGAATTAATTGCAAAATGTATAATGTGCCCTCAAGTATTAGGATTTGATGTAAAAAATCTTGAAATTACTGAAATACTTCCTACAGTTATGGAAAATATATTACAATCAATAATGAGTAAAAATGATAACTCTTTACCAGATATGGTTAAGTGTGAATTATCAATATATGTGCAAAAACATATAAATGATTTTATTGAGTTAGATAAAATTATTTCCGGTACAAATAGTTGCAGTGAACTTAAACAATATGTTCAAGGTTTAAGTTTTTTGAAACATCATAATGTCCTTAATCAGTTACAAACATGTTTAGGTGTATGTATATGTATATATGTGTGTGTGTATATATATATGTATTATTAAATTTATAATTACTGATACTGTTTTATAGATAAATGAATTAATCTATCAACCAGAGGATAAAGTTAAACGTATATTCAAGGGTTTGGTAAAAGAACTTGGAGAACTTATTCGTATAAATATAAAACCATCAGTGAAGGAGTATCTGGAAATCTTAATGGAATTTTTACTTATGCATTACGAGGTATATTATTCAAATTGATATAAACAAATAGAAAATGTAATATAAATTATTTTCAGTTTTCAATGACAAAAACGCTAATTGAATTAATTGAAAATAATACAATGCTTGGACCAGATTCAAAAAAGATTGAACATGGTATACATTTTCTGAATACATTCAAATGTGAAATATTTAAATATATGTTAAAAGATACAGAGAAAACTATAAAAATACTTAATGATATATTGCAAAAGAATTCCTCACTTTTCTTCATGATCATAGAGCAATTATTTTTGTTCGTGCAGCGGCATAAAAAAGAATTCTATAATAGTATAGAAATATTAGTGGACACTGTCGTTAAAAAATTTACAACATTTGAAAATGCCATAAATAATGTTGAAGATAGAAAGCAAAAATTAATAAACATTTTCGGAATTGCAGTTCATCTAAAACATAAACCAATAGAGTTATTATCTATAAATAAAGATTTTTATATATGGATTCTCAATCAGTTAATGGAGAATTCAGATATAGAATACAAGATTCATATTCTTCAGAATTTTCTCATATGTTTAACTGATATGACATCGGATACAAAACCAGAATTACTTGCCATTTTACGTAGTTTGAAGAATAATAGACTTGATGTGTGTCCAAATGATTTTTCCCAAAAAAATGTGAAAGCTTTAAAAATTACTAATTGTTTTCAAAAATTAATAGCATTGTTACCAGTCACTAAATCAGTGATAGTATTTGAATCTGTTATTTCATTTGCGGTTGGCATTGCCGAATATTTGTGTAACGAAAAGACTAACGAATATTTACTAAAGTACTTTACTTCAATTACTACTGACTATACTGTGAAATCTATGCAATCAGTATACAGATTATTTATGAACTTAAATACACAGACAAATGAAAGGTTTGATGTATTATATAAATTTCTTTTGCCATCATTTGAATTTTGCAAAACTGTCGAAATACATCGATTCTTTGAAGAAAATATTAAAGAAATACATTCAGTTATTTGTCAAAGCTTGGTTGGAAGTAGCTCTGACATAAAGCAACTTATAATATCAAAAATAGGATGTTATAATCTTATTGCAATTATGTTCGCAAAACTTGATATAAGAGATATAGACGATTCTAGGAGTGTGATTACTCGAAATGCTGTTGACAATGTGATTACTGGAAAGGAACTTTTGCAGAGTTTATATAGTAATGCATTAAATATACGTATGTTAAAGACACCTGAACCTGTACTTAAAGAAACAACAAGATTGTTGCATTGTTCTGCATACAATTGTTCCATAGCTATTGTATCTAATTTAAAAAGGGATGAAGATTCTTATGTTAGCATTTTTGCTGAGAACAGGAAGAAAGAACAATTAATTTGGGAGAATATTATAGACTGTCAAAAGCAATATAATTTTCAACAAACAGTTGCTGAGTATCCGAAGCATCGTAAAAAGTTAATTAATATACGAAAGACCTTGAAACAAAAACAAGCTTCTAATCATTACTCATATATTTATAGTTACGATTTATCTACCTGTACTTTGACTGAAGATATAAACGCTTATGATTTTAATGAAACCATTGTACATAATAAATGTGATAATGCTACTCAAAATGAAAGTATGAGTTTGATATTTGAGGATGATGAATTAAATAATCATGAATGTATGGCTTCTATTTGTGGAGTTTTGAATCACTTAATAACAGAAGAAATATCTGTGATGCCTACTGATAATAATATTACAATTCCAAAGTGGCTAAAATGCTTCCTTAGTTCAATTACAACAACAAATTATGATAATGTTAGATTATTTATGTTAAAAGTTATCTTGAATATGCAGGCTGTATTTCAGCCATATGCAAAATTTTGTCTTCAGCCTATAATGCATACAACATATTTATATTTAAAAAGAAACCAGTTGAATTATATCATTGTTGATGTTATAGAACTGTTAATAAATTGGCAAACCTCAGTTTTTCAAAACTCAAATGAATCTACATGTGATAAAAATCAGAATGCAATTCAAAAATTATGGGAGATAGTTATTCAAAAAACAATAACGAAAACAAATGAAATTTCCAAAGCAATTTATAAATACAATATGAATGTAGTAAGAACAATACTTGAAGTATGGCATGATTATTTAAAGTTACCTTCAAATTTAGATGAGACAATGAGAACTGCAGCTGCAGCTGCAGTATATTTAATATTAATTTGTTTTGTTAATGGTATGGAAAAAGATATTATTGAAAGAAATGATATCTTAGTATTCTTAGAAAAGTCTCTAGAAAATTGGCAAGATGATGAAGAAACAGTATTACAATGTTGTGAATGTTATAGTTTTATTTTGAAATTTTTTGGTATTGATGAAACATTATCAAATAAAAAGAGCATTTTAATTGATAAAATTCGAAGTATATTAAGGCAGATGCAAAGGAAGTTCGAAAATAGACAGATGAAGTGTATTCGTGCACTGTGTAAAAATTATCCAGCTGCAGCAATAACTTATTTCGAATTTGCTACTGCAAATATATTTAGAGTGGATGCTCAAGGCAAGTCGAATTGTTTAGAGATATTTCTACTGTCTATACCAAATCTTAGCACTGATCAAATATTGGAAGAACTAAATCACATGAAATTTTATGATTTATTAAAAAATAAAATTTTACCTTGTGAGAAAGTAGCTTTAAAAATCATTGATTCATTAGTCTTTATTTTATCTCCTTCAAATGTTTTATCACTTATAACTTTAGTACAACCTTATACAAAGCATGAACTTTCTGAGTACAGAGAAATCACTTATAGAATATTTATAAATATTTATAAAAAATATATGGCAGATAATTCTGAAGATAATGAAATAAAACAGTTGATGTACATTAGCAAAGAAATATTAGTTAATGGTGTATTGGATCCTACTATAACATTACAAGAAATGATATTAAACTTTTGGACACAAGATGCACAATTAGCAAATACTTGCAAAGAAAGATTACTTGAAGTTTTAAATATTTTCACTCCCAGTATTGGCCAGAATTTCTTGCCATTCACATTTTTACTAATTTTAGACCTCAGCAAAAAATCAAGAAATTATACACAAAAGTTGTTTGAACCTTTACATGACTGCAGTTATAGAGACTACAATATAGCTCTTTCATGGAGAACAAAAAATTTGGGATCAAAAGCTCCACTTTTTGCTCCATCCTTAACTAGTCAAATGAATCAAATGTTTACCCAAATGAATACTATATCTCCATATATTTCTTCCAACTTTACCAGATCGGTGTACGATTCTAATGCGGAAATAAAGCTTCGAGTAACTCAGGAGCTAGAATTTGAGCCAACTTACGGTAAAGAAACATTTATTGGAACATCTAATAATCTAGAGCAACATAATATATTTAAGATACCAAAAGTACCGCAACCTGCCTATAATAAAAGGTCGAAACGATTTTTAAGCAGTGCGAGTGATATTTCTGCAGCTATACGACAAAAAGAAATTAAGAAAAATATACAGCACGCAGAAATGATAAAGGAAGAAGTTGTTAGACAAAGAAGTAGTGTAAAGTTATTCAGGAAATATAGAATTGGTGATTTTCCAGACATTGAAATATCGCACGCGACGTTGATCGAACCATTACAACAATTAGCAAAGAATGATCAAATAATCTGTAAAGATTTAATAGTTTCTATTATTTGTTCATTAATTGGAGATTCCAGACAAAGTTTTATAGAGCAACTTACAAACAATTTGAAACGCATCATAGAGAACGAGCAGTATAATACTTCTACTGTAACTGCAATTTTAGAGATATCATTGAATACAAATATAAGAAATTGTTCGCCGGAAACCATTGTGAAGATCTCGAGGTCGAATGGTTTACACTTTCTTGGATCACTTGTTTTGGAAGAAAATATAATTAATGAGACAAATATTTCTATACCTTCTAAAAAAAAGATACGAAGCGAAATTATAGATAATTCATCTTGTAAATGGTTGCAGTTAACGAATCTTTATAAAACTATGAATGATATTGATGTAGTTCTTAGTATTTTTCAAAATCATATTACAAATGAAGATATAAAGGTATATATTTATTTTTTAATAGATAATTATAATTAATTCTGATAACTTTTTATGTTATTTCCTTTAAAATTTTAGATTGCATCATTTGCGCAAGCATCTAGCAATTGGGAAAAAGCGAAAATAGCATATGAGATGGCATGTGAAATGGAATCTGAGTTAGTGAAAGAACATTGTTTTCAAGGCTTATTTGAATGTTTAAGTAATCTATGCTGTTGGGGTGAAATCAATACACACATAAAAAATAAACTTTATAAAAATTTAGATAATATCTGGAATGATCCATGGAAAGATTGGTTGTTTCCTTGGGTTTTTGAAGTGCACGTCCGTAAACTGATAAACGAAGACATTAGCGACGAATTTAGCAATGACGTGAAAGTTATGGAATCTTGGTTGGAAGACAATGCAAAAATAAAATATGTCAAACGATTCTTTGGAGAGGAATTGTCGATGTTTTTTTTGCATAATCATCTAGAAGTTGCCCGTGAATTCTTGTTAAATTCTTTAGATGAGATGAGGGAACAATGGATCAAGCTACATCCTCTTTCCATGCAATTAAGAATTTTCAAGCTTCAAAAGTTACGGACCATTAACGATATAAATTTATTTATAAAAATTTTGAAATCGGTACAATTACCGCTTAGCTTAGACGAAACTTTAAAGATCTGGAATAATAACATACCTTCAACACAAGATGCTATACTTCCATGGGATAAATTAATATCCTATAGAATATATTTCATTGATTCATTACTTAGTGACAAATTAGAGCAATGGAATCAGAATTTATCGCAAAACGATTCAGGAAATAATTATGATGAAGAAACTAGCATCATTCATAGATTGCACATAATTACCTGTAATATGAAGTTGAAAATGATCGAGGCTTCACTGAATCAAAAGAATAAATACATAGCAAAAAAATATTTGCGACAACTAGAACAAACGATAGAAAATTATTCCACAGACCTGCAAAACGAATTCATGTTTCTTTGTGGAAAGACAAAATACCTTATCGGAGAAATTGAAACAGATGTGAAGAAAAAAATATCAAACTATATTTCTTCTTGGAATTATTGTCATAATCTTTTACAGAAAGATAGTCTTAATGATACTATAAATATTGATATTCGAAAAGAAATCAGTAAGGTCGCATTAAAGATCGTAAGTTTGAGTGAAGAAGATGAAATATTTGCAGAGTTATTAAGAAAAAACAGTATGAATCTAAATGAACTAAACCTTGAAAATAATGATTTGTCTATTATTAGAGATACACTGGAAAATTATAGTTTCAATAATTTGAAAGCATGTTGTGATATAACAACTATGAACATTGGAGAATGCTATTTCAATCTTGCAATGTACTGCTATAACCGATTGACACATGGTGCAATCGAAGCTTTTATAAGTAGAGAATTTATTCATTCTATATTAAAGGCAATGAGTTACGGATATCTCGAGGCAGCTCATTATTTTCCTTGCTTGCTAAAACCTGAATATTTCAATGATCAAGACACAAAGGATATGTTTATGAAAGAAAATGAAAGTGTTGAGACTTGGCTGTTTCTCTCTTGGCAAGCTCAATTATTCTCTCATTTAGGAACATCGATCGCTCCTTTAATTATACCCATTTTGAAACGAATTGTTGATATGTATCCTAATGCAGTTATTTATACATTTCGCTTGACAGTGGAAACAAATCCAGCTCTTCTGAATGAAACCAGTACTTACGATATTCGACAAATTTTATACAACAAACCAGAAATCGATCGATTTCTGATAGCTATGACTTATGTAGTCCAACCAGAGTTATATTTACAACACTATTTAACTGAATTTCGAAAAAATTTATCTCTTGGAACAACTACGGCAGTGGATATACTTCTGAAGAAAGTATATCCAAATGCATTAGAAAACAAGTATGATCCAAAACCAGGAAATATTTTTAATGAGATTGTAGTATATAAGGATAAAATTAAAAAATTGGAAAACAAACGGATTGACGAAATTAAACTTCGGGTTGACGAGATTATTAAAAGTATTAAAGAATCACTTGAAAAGCGTAAAAATAGGTCCAAATTACAATACTATAGTCCATGGTTGTGCAACTTTCCTGAAAGAGACATAGAGATACCTGGTCAATACACTGGCAAAAGAAAGCCTATGCCTCAATACCATGCAAAAATTTTAAAGTTTGAACCTGATGTAAAAGTAATGCAATCATTGCGCAAACCTATACGGATTACTATGATTGGAAATGATGCAAAGGATTATCATTTCTTGGTAAAATTTGGAGAAGATCTTCGACAAGACCAAAGATTGCAACAGTTGTTCACTGTCATGAACAAAATATTACATATTGATATAGCTTGTAGACAAAGACAATTATCTATTAATACTTACCAGGCAAGTGAATACCTTTTAAATAAATAAAATTAATGCAATAAAGTATTACAAAGTAATTAATTTTTTAAAATGCAGGTAATTCCTTTGTCCAAAACTGTGGGTCTTATACAATGGATAGATAATACAAGATCTTTAAAAGAGTTAATACATTTTACGCTATCAAACCAAGAGATAAAGCAGTATAATTCTATATCTAAAATTTATAACGAATGGATTAAAAATGCCGCACGTTCTAAAAATGTGTATGAAGCGTACAAGGAAGCAACGTTAAAATACAATGCTTCAAAAGTGCTCACTAAAATGAATGAATTTATTGGCAAAACCAAATGGGATAGTTTACGTAAAACACTGACCGTATTATGTCCAACCATAGAAAGTTTTTTTATGATGCGTCGAAATTTTATTACTTCATATGGTACCATGTGTATTGCACATTGGATCTTAGGTATTGGAGATCGGCATTTGCAAAATACTCTTATCATTGTCGATTCAGGATGTTGTTTAGGTATCGATTTTGGATTGGCCTTTGATGCGGGTGTCGATCAAAGGATACCAGAATTGATGCCTTTTCGCTTAACATCCCAGATTTTGGACTTATTGAAGCCTTTTACCGAAAAAGATCTTTTAGGGACGACAATGATTTATGCGTTACGAGCAATGAAAAATGAACAGGGACTTATTCTGTCTTGTATGGATGTTTTTGTTCATGAACCATTAAATTGGACTGAACATGTTAACAAGGCATTCAGAGAAAATGAAGATGATATTACAGGTTTTTAACGATGTATAGAATGAATAATTTTAATTTTTAAACAGATATATACGATATTGTGATCACTTTTATTTTCAAATTATAGATATCAAATGGATGCCTTTAAAAAAAATTGAAGCAATTACAAAAAAATTGAATGGAATTAAACCATCTTTAATTACATTAGATCAATTAAAGGAACAACACCATGATAAATATTTCGATAGGTATTATATTATAGTTAATGGAGACGATGACATCAAACGAACACGAGCAAAAATGAAAAATAATTATTTAACTCCTGAGGAACAGGTAATAGATTATAAAATACTATTTTTACAATTACGATTTAAAAATAAAATTTTCAAAATTTATAGGTTGAATGCTTATTGGATCAAGCAACAGATTTAAATATTTTAGGTCGTACGTTTGTAGGATGGGAGCCATGGCTTTAAATTCTTTAAATTTATAATATTTACAATAAACTTCAGTTGTAATGTAATTTTGTATATAAATATATTTCTTTAACTGTTTTCTCAATAAAAAAGCTGTAGAAAATAAATATTATACAGTTTGTATATCTGTGAGAAATTTTTAATATATTAAAAGTACTACTATTATTATTTACCATATTTATGTTGTTGTTTAAATCACAAATAATAAATTTATTATTTACAGATCGTGAATTTTTTAAAGAAAAAATTAAAAAATTAAATAAAACATTATAATACGTACATAGTTTATATACAAATTTTGAATAGTTTAGAAGGATATCATACTACCATTATATGTACTTTTAAAATTAAACTTCGGTAAGATTTGATGTAATTATATTTAATCATTTCTTTATTATATTTTATAATTTTTAAGTATTTTAGAATATTTTATGCATTTTCTTATATTTTATAATGATTACTAATAATACTGAACAAGATCGAAATAATTCTTAACTTTTTTCTTTTTTCTGTTGCATTACTTTGTTACGCACAATCACACACAACATAAAAATGTAAGTAATTATATTCTTATTTTTCTAAATTAACAACAAATTTTAATTTTCAATAAATTCATCATTAGAAAATTACGGTTTTTAATACAATATCATATTGTCATTATATAATTCGAAATATACGGAAACAGTTACATTACGTATCATTATTAATCATTTTTATACTCACAATTTTTAAACAAATTGCATTTTAGTATAAATCGTAAATTGTAAATATATGTAACTTTTTCAATAGACTATTAAAATTACTGCTAAGATAATCATAAATGTAGATTTTACAATTTTTGTTTCTTTCATTTAACAACTATTCTATAATGTTAATTTTTGCATACAATAAATTATATTCACATTAAATTTTCTTAGTTCTGGTGAGTTAAATTGTCAGTTATGCATAATTCAAAATAAGTGGCTTTTTATTATAAAAAATTGAGATCTTCGAAAATTTTTATTTGCTTGAATTACTCTTTTAGTGAATTTGTATAGAAATTAATTTTTTATATTTCACAAAACGTGTACAATATTTGAGGTATAATATATTACAATAAGTCATTTGGAAAATATTTAACATTGTTGCAATTGATCTTGTAACTGTGCATACCGCACTTGCAATACGCGTTCTCGATCTGTTTGTCTGTTAACGTCTTCCATGAGTGCATTCACTCGTCTCGGTACAGCTGCTTCTTCTTGTGTTTGTAAAAATTTGAACGTTGAAAGTTCTAAATGTGCTTGTTCTATTTGTTCCCATAAATCATGCAATTGTTTTGTTAACACTTGTGCTCTAGTCTACAATAAAGAAAATTTGTATATTGATGTCAATTATTTGCATTTTAATAAATATTTTTTGTATTAAAAATAGAAATATTTACTTGGTAACCTCCAGTAAGAACTTTTAATTTTTTTTCCATCCTCGCTGCTCGTTTAGCTTCTCCAGTCATATGCATACGATTTTCTTCTAATTTTCTTTCGCATGCTTCTACCCTATCTTTTTTGGAAGCTAACGTTGCTCGCGTGTACCGTTTTTGCGTTTCCAGATATAATATCTAATAAAAAATATTAACAAATAAATATCTTTATAAAGTAAAAAAATTCTGAAGCTTTATCTATAAAAGATATGACAATACCTGGGATAAACATTCTTCCCATACAGTTGTATAGGAATCCAAACTTAATTCTCCATGTGCCATACCTTCTTTTACTACTCCCATTTCGTCAACTAAAAGTTTCTTGGCCTGTACGTAATGTTCGTTGAAATAAACAATGAAAATAAATTTAGAATTGAGTAATAAAATTAACTTACAGCAGCAAGCTCTTCTTTTTCAAAATTGACATATGGATGTTGTTCTAAGTAAGATTGTGCTTGAGCTACTGAATTTGAGGAACCTTTACGATTTTGTTGTACTGGATTTTGTAGAGAATCATATTGAAGCATTGTGATCATTTCTCTTTTAATTAGTTCTTCTGCCTAAAATGATATATTTACTAACAATTGTTATATGATTGCCATATAAATATATTATATATTCAGCAGTTATATGATCATACCCTTTGCAAATCTGTTAATGGAGTATCCATAAATGGCCTTAAAATATTCATATTTACATCAACTGGTCGTGGTAAATCTCGTTGTATAACTTGTGATCTCCTAGATAATTCCTTTTTTTCTGAAAAATATAATGCGACATTAATGTATAAATAATTCCTAGTACGTTCATATTCAGCATAAATTTAATATATACTTTGTTCTACTAATTCTTGCTGTTGTCTAGCATCTATATCGGCTTGATCCTCTACAATTTCCGTTGTGGTTGAAGTAATATCTTCATCTTTTGTTTCTCCTTCAGGAACTACTATTTCATAATCATTGCGTGGTATTGGAAGCGCATTCAATCCGGCACGTAATTGTTCTTTTACTTGTTTTTGAAGTAGCGGAGTTTCCGATCCATCCATATTTTCATCTGGGTTAATACTGAGTTTATCGCGAACCGGTGTAGCTGCTAGAACTCCGTTTTGTGTTCGTGTAGATGCTGGTGTACTAAATGAATTAACTGGTGTACCATCGCTACGTTGCGAACGAAATGGTGTAGCCAGAATTGTATTTGGAGTTGCCACAGCATTCGTAGAAGGCACGACGCCAGTGAAATCAGAATTATTTAGTGGAGTATTTAGTCCACCTTTACGAAAAATAAAGCAAATAATTTATATTTTGAATATTTTTTTTTTTTTAGATAAAGTAACACCAACCTTTTAAAGGAGTATCAACATGAGTAAGAGCCATAACATTTTGAGCTTCTTGCAGAATCCTATCTGCAGCAGCTGGAGTACGTGGAGTTACAGCTGCATTGGTGGGTAAAGAATAATCAGCTAATAAACTATCTGATAATGTGATACCACTTTCTGTTGCAACTTCACGAGCAACCTATTAAATATCATAAAATTTATATCATTATATATTTAGCAAAAATAATGAAATATGTGAACTATGATAATATACCTCTGATGCTCGACCAAGTTTCACTACTTGTTGTAATTCTTGATCAGATATCTGTGGCTCGGGTAAAACAAGTTTACTTCTTTTTTTTATTGGCTCTTCATTATTTAACATTCCCATTGGGATATCATTTTCTTTACGTTGTTTTAATTTTTGTTTGTCTTTTCTACGTTCCATTTCTTCTTTTTCTTGTCTTAATTCTCCATCTAAATGTTGTTGCCTCATTTTTGAAAAATCAATGGCAAGTGGATCTACATGCTCATTAGATGTATCATAAAATCCAGGTGCTGGTCGCTTTTCAAATGGAATTTCAGAATTGTAATTAACTCCACGTTTACGTTTATTTTTTTGTGATACAGTAATACCAGCAGCTCTCAACTCTCTACGTTTTTGGAGAGCAGCAAGTCTACGAGCTTCTTCCAACTGTTTTTCTCTAGCTTTACGTTTTGCCTTTTTACCCTGTGTATTTGCAAGCCTGGCACGTGCCTCAGACAACATTTCCAACTCTGAAAATTACTAATTTTATTATTGTTACATATAATACAAAATAACGGTTTATAAAATAGAAATCCTACCATCTTCATCCATATCTTTAGGATCAGGCCTGGCTGGTTTTGTTTCAGGATTAGGATCAATTTCTCCTGGTTTTAATTTGCGAGGATCATCTGCAGCATCATCTCCCTCTTCTTTTTTTTGAGCTTGATCCCTAATATAAAAATAATATGTGAAACTCACTTACATTAAAACTAATTTACATTTATAAAACATATTTAACCCACAGTAAATATTCATAACGTTCTAAGCATTGCGCAGCTGTACGTCCTATAATTGGAGCAATTGTTCTCCATTGTGTAGGCATCAATTTTGCAAGGTGAAGAAGTTTCTCATCTTCTTCTCTACTCCATTCTGTTTTCTTGATGCTTGGATCTAACCATTCAAACCAACGTGCTTTACATTGTTTAGCAGACTTTCTGTGTAAAAGGGATGCTATTCGGCTCCATTGATTTTTGCCATATTTCATAACAGCAGCTTTCAAAATCTCATCCTTTAGAAGTAAGATATTTATAGAAAAAATCATTTTTAATAATGAAAATGTAAATACAGGTTAGAAAGAATGCCTACCTCAGTATTACGCCAAACACCACCTTTTATCATAATACGCGGCATCTTTTATATATTTTTTATTATCACTCAAAAAACAATAAAAAAATGGAAAAATTTCCTTGATTGTCTGTATTTATTAGATAATTAATAACAATTTCAGTGAAACTACATTTAAGCTTAACGACAGTAACATCCAAGTGAAGTGGTCAGTGCCGATATCAGAGACACTAATGTAAAAGAGAGACACAAATATATGCTTATGGTAAATATAGTAATGTTAAGAAAATCTATAAATTATACAAAATATTATAATAGATAAATAAAATTAAAAAGTTACAATAAAATTCCGAAACATATAATTTGTTATATATTAAAATGGTGTATAATACTATTCCATTCAATATTCCCGCTTTTTAAAATTTACAGCAATTAAAATTTTTGTATTTACGATGATCATAATCAGCGAAATGGAAATATAAATAAATAGTTAAAAGCTTATATTTATATAAAATTTCTAATTGTTATAATTGAAAATTCTATTTTTTATAGTATTAATAGCGATCATGTGCTTTACACAACGATCCAAAGGTAAGCTGTTTATGTAGAACCTGTGATACTGCAAAACAAACTACTTCATCCTTCTGACTTCATTTACAATTTATAAATTAAATTTTTTTATCTTATAATCAATGAATTAATATAATTATTTTGATATTCTTTTATTATTTACTCATTTTTTGTTAAAATTATAAATAAGATTTTTGCAAAAAGACGATTTCAATAGATTTAGATATTGTAAACGCATTCTAGTTTTTAAAAGATATTTTTTAGATTTTGAAATCTGGAATGAATTGCACATATTAAGATTCAGATGTGAATTAAACTGGTTTCGCAAAAATCTTAAGATAGTAATTATGTAATGGTATTAATTATTATATATCGATGTGGTAAATCAAAAATAATGTTACTTTCAGGTTTTCGAAATGTATTTGATATATTTTATTTGTCTATACAATAAATAAAAAAAAAATATGTTTCCCAATAAACTATAGCCACATTATTTTAATTATACATGTACTATGGTAATACTAATGTACATATGGAAAACATTCATTTACATTTGTTATCGATAAATTATTTTTCATATACAATATTTTTGTCTTTTTTTTTTTAATTATATTAGATATTAAGCATTTAATTAAAAAAATAAACATTAAATTAAGAATTATTTATTGTATTAGATTTCACCTCGATTTCAACAGATTTCATTTACATTAATTTACTTTTCATTTACAATATCAATTTTTTTTTAATACTAAATTTTTAACATTGCTTTAATCACTCATATTTTATTATTACCTCTATTTATAAGTAAATTGTTTTAACATTGTCACATACAAAATTTTTTGGGACATCTGTTAAATAAATATTTATCTTCTATATCTTCCATATTATATTTTATTTATTTTAGTTTCTAACTTGTGTTATTATTTTGAAGCTTTTACTAATAATTTCATACAAGTCATAAGTATACATAAATAGTTACCAAGGCAGTGAGTTGATTATTGTATCATTTATATTATATTCAAGTTACAAATAAATAAACAAAAATTTTAGCCATGGATCATACAATGTATACATATATGCAACATGTATGTATGTACAAACCTTATAAATATTATTATATTATTATACAATATTTATTTGCATCTTTTAATGATAATAAGTTATTCTTTTATGAAAAAATTTACTTTAACTTAATTAAAGAATGATTTAACTATTTACAATATAATGATAATATATTAAGATAATTAGCAATTTCTATCTATAATGTATAGAATATTTAATTTACTTTGATACATAAGTACAATGTACCATTTATATCCTTTTAGTTGGTGATATGTAAAAAATAATTTATAATGCATTTTTTTTGGAATTTATTTTTAAATTTTAAGGTTTCCAACTGAGAAAACTATCCTGTATAACTATTTGTTTAAATATACTATGTGCAGTAGACTGTGGTGCTTTACGATTACGCTGAGCTTCTAAAATGTATGAAACTTTCTCCCTTGCCTCACTACGAGAAATATCACCTCTAAGACCTAGTAACCTGACTAAATGATCTTCAGTCATATCTGGATATTTTTCAACTAAGGAATGTAAATCAAGAGAAAGAATTTCCGAATCTTCGCAACGCAGTACTTCGGCAAGACGTTTAATTATTTCAAAAGGAGAATTAAAATTTCCTACTTTTGGAGCAATTCTATCAAAGAAATTTTTTAGTTTATCTGCTTCTGTCATTATTTTTGATGTACATGTTAAACATTCATCATATGTTTTTAAGGATATTTTTCTTTGTAACATTGCAGAAATATAACGTTTTGCAATGAGATTTTGTGCTTCTGTTATAACATAATCAAAATTTTTTGGGCACAAGTGATTATAATCTTGAAAATAATCTTCTAAAGTTACACAAATGGTTTCTACTGGAATAGGAGATGATAACCACTTGGGAGTAATCAAATCTTGAAATTGTAATTCTAAATCTAAGAAAGATTCTTCTAGTAATATAGCTGCTGCTTCATTTCGTAATTGTTGATAATTTGATAACAAATTTTCAAATTTAACAGTTGCATCTCCACTAGTATTAGGAACCCAATGCAACTGTTTCATTTGCTGTGCTAATTCTGTAAATTGTATGCAATTATTAACAATTGTAATCATATGATGTGTAAAATAAGGTACTTGACTTCTATCCTCAAAATGTTTGTTTTTAAATTCCAATATGGCTTGTTTGTACATAAATCCATACTTAATTACTTGTTCAATGCATAGAACTATAGCTTGTGCTGTTAATTCAGTGCTAATTGTTTTTGTAACTTGAAGATTTTGATCAATCATTTGAAATATAATCACAGGTGCTGCTGTGTGATAATATGCTTCTTGAGTACTTCCTTCTGGTAATACACCACTCCACCAGTCAACTTTTTCAGTATTCAAAGTTTTCTTCATCCAATCCTCATAATTTTGGCACATGTTCTTCAAATATTTTTCTTGAAGATCATTTATAATTTCAGGACTCAATAAAGGGCCTATATCACTTGTATCAATATTTAATTCAGGGTGTTGCATTAATTCTGGACCAGTATATGTATTCATAATCCATGATAATAAAGATACATATTCATTTCCTTCCAAGCCATTTGCAATTATGTCTTTCAAATGTAATGATAAACTTGTATGATACATTTTAACAAAAGTTCTTACAATATTATACCAAGGTGGAAAACATGGTTCACAAAGTGTTTTAACAACTCTTAGATCTTCCAAGATTAAGAGTCTTGTAAATTCTAAATATCGAACTAGCCACATTTTATTATCTACTCTTTCCTCAACATGAGTTCCTTCAATTCTATTGGCTACGGATTTTTCCAAAACTTTCATTGCCATATCTTTCCACTTTTTAGGTCTTCCTGGTGGCATAAATCCACTTTGTTTATGTCTTTGAATAGCAAAATGATCTGCTTTTTCTTCTCGTTCTATAATTCTTAATGCTGTTACTATAACAGTAGGTTCTTTCCTTACTGTGTTTAATGTACGACTTAACACTAATCTAATTTGCTTTTCCATAAGCTGTGAAAGCATTTCAACATCCTCTAAATAAGCTTTCAACATGACAGTATCAGCTGGTGATTGATTTGGAAGTTTATGAAGTTCATATAATAAATCATCCCTTGAATTTTCAAGGTCCATAATGATTTGATGTGCATATAAAAGATTTCCTTGATTGATCCATTGCTTAGTCATTTCAACGCTTTCTGGTAAAGTAAATGTATGCTTTAAATTTTCTTTAGCAGTAACGTATTGTGAGTGACGCATATTTTCTTCCTGAACAACTTGTAATTTTGCACTAAGTTCTGGAATTTTACTAAATAATTCACTGATATCATTTAAATCCTGCTTCACAGAAACAATACTCTCTAAAGAACTTTGGAGTTGCTCAAAACCTACGCGAACTCCATCTAATTGACTTTGCATTGCAGTTTTAAGCATAGTTTCTACAGAAGCTTTCTTTCGGCCTATTCTACGTTTATAGATTTCAATCTTTTCCAATTGACCTGGTCGTTGCAACAAATTACATCCATATTTTGTTGCCCTTGCCTTAACATCCTCTTCCAATTTTTGTAAATCTTCCATTTTTAAAGCCGTTTTTGATATTTTACTTTACACTTTTTGATACTTATAAAAAATCAGAAATAATAATTTTTATTTAAACAACTACTTTTTGAAGGAAAAACATACAAATTATTTTGACATTTATAAAACCTTGGTTAGGCATGTATCTTAAGATACGTTTACATCGACAATCGTTTTGTCAACTTTCAATATATGAATATGCCTTAGTGTTCAATACAGAATTACATTGCTATGGAAATGCACACTGTCATTTTCTAATTTATTGTTTAATAAGATGTAAGAATTTAAGTATTGAACTGTGCGAAGGAATAAAAAATATATTTTGTTGTTTCGTGTCAATCAAAAAATTCATTTTGAAACTTATAGAATTTTTTGAGTAATTTGAAATAATGTATCTTTTAAACAGATTATCAGAAATAGTCCATCTATGTTATAAACGTTACCCAACCAGATGTTTAACCTCTAAACCGTTCATAAATATAGAAACTGAAAAAAAGCAAAAGCGTAGTTATTTTTTATTTATAATATCATGTAGTATTTTATATTTTATAAAATGTGAAATAAATTATATATATTATAATAACAGATAATTATGATTGCACATTATTTTAGATAAAAGTATTGTAGTACAACATATCAAAGGTGTTTCTATAATTGGTATAAACCGACCTGAAACAAAGAATGCTCTAAATGTTGCAGCTGCACAAGAACTAATAGATGAATTAGATAAATTTGAAAATGACGAAAACTCTGTAGTTGGTGTACTTCATGGTTTCAGTGGAAATTTCTGTAGTGGTTATGATCTTACAGAAATTGCTCAGTACAATGGAAAAAATGAAGAAATTTTACCACAGTTTGGGCCATTGGTAAATTAAATATCTATAAAGTTTATATTATACATGATATTAAATAACTGTTGTATTGATTTTTATAATATAAATTGTTTATAGGCTAATAGAATTGAATTAAGTAAAAAACCTCTAATAGCTGCTATAAATGGATATGCTCTAGGAGTAGGCTTTGAACTTGCTTTAATGTGTGATCTAAGAATAATGGAAAACACTGCAGTATTAGGATTTGCAAATAGAAAGTTTGGGATTCCTATATTATGTGGTGGTACTGTTCGATTACCTGCTTTAATTGGTTATTCACGAGCAATGGATTTAATCTTAACTGGTCGACATATTAATGCAAATGAAGCATTTTCATGGGGTTTAATTAATTGTCATACAGAAACTGGTAATGGTATGATCTATCTTGAAATAATAAATATTATTTTGTTATATCTATATATTTGTATGACAAGATATGTGCATCTTCTTTGTTTATAGTATTAGGAGAGGCAGTCAAAGTTGCAATATCACTTGTAAAGTTTCCCCAAAGAACATTGCTTGCAGATCGTGCTTCTGCACATTATGCTACATTTTCTGCTAAACAATTTAAGGAAGCTATACAATTTGAGAAAGACAATGCATCACATTTAGTATTTGAAGAAGGAGTTACAGGAGCGAAGAAGTTTGTTACGGCAGGAATAGAAAATAATAGAAAATTTTTTAATGATAAGGAAGAAACATTTAAGGAGTTGAATAAAGATCTTTTGTAAAAATTCTGTAATAATATTTTCTAAAATTTTGTACATAGTATTTTCAGATTACTGTAGTATATGTTTAAAGTAAACAAAAATTTTGTAATATGATTAAGTACCTTTATTATAGATACAATTATGCCATTCTGTGTGTATTATTGTCTCTTTTTAGAGAAGATTTAGTAGATGAGTTTTTTTTAAATGATGTATGAAACTTTATCAGTATATCAGTGCATCTCTTTGCTGCTTTTCCAGTAAGAAGTAGTGTGATATTTATCATTTGACCATTTATATCTCCTGTACAAGTAACATTTAATAAAAATAATATTTTATATAATATTTAAAACTTACGTTCAAATGTAACTATTAGGTATGTTAAATCCACTTGAAAAACATTAATACCAGATGTATGTGGTTCAAAAAAGAAAACTTTTCTTAATTGACAGTTAATTTCATCACATAAATCAAATTCAGCTATAAATGTTTTATTATAGTTATCGAAAAAATAAACAGAGGAAATACTAGATATGTATTCTGCTTACCTGTATCATCTAGTCCTATTATATTTCGAATATAATTTAATATTAATTGAAGTGGGCAATTAATATTTATTAAAATTTCTTTATCTGTTTCTTGAAGTTGTGTATTCTTCTCGTTCTTATTAACAGGAACTATAAAATAAATATATATGATATAAAATTTATTTAAGAAACATTATGTAACGAAAATACTCTTACTAGCATATTTGATTCGAATAATCGACGTCATGTCATAAGTATCAATATTATATTCAATAAATTTAAAAATATCGAGATTAGTCTACAAATGATTTAAGGGGTAACGAACAAATTGATATAAATTCGTCTTACGTATTCCTTTTTAAAAGAATATCGCATATTAAAAGGTTAAAATAATTGAAAATCATGTAATATTTCATTTGTGTTTGGTATTCAATTCCTGTATCCGTGTGATAAATTTATACTTAACGTATTAACGTATACTTATATTTAAAGAATGTCTTTTTATTGTATTGTTATCACGAAATCAGGAATACAGTTGATACTATTATTAGATGCATTATGACTATAAAATTTAGCATTTTCTTTTTCTATTCACGGGTAATGTATTATTGTTGCAAATACATTTAATGCACTCTTTATGCCGGGTCGCAGTTAGATTTCCTTTAGGCGATCGTTGACGTATTCATTGGACTGGAATTTCAAATAATCGTGGAATTTCATATTCAAGTTGAACAACGACCGTCCACAGGTTTAATTGGCGAAAGTAATGCGAACCGGCCAACCACTATCGAGCCGGTTAAAGCTGTGTGACGAAATGAGTGCAGGTGGCGGTGCATTGTTGCGCAATCGTTCGTATCCCTCCTTTTCCTCCTTCTTGTAACCAGGAGTCAGGACGAGAATCCCCTTGGTAACTAGAAGGCCCTCCCCACCAGGTGCCTTCCTCCTTGCTTGACCTGGTGAATGTTGTGCTCGCAAATCTGTACGATCATCTCGGATGTCGTTCTTTCTTTCGTTTCTTCCTTCTGTTATACCTTTTCCAAGAACTTGGTCCTTTTATTCACTGACCTTTTGTGCCGATTGGTTACGTTCTTGTTTTGTGGATACTTGTCTGCATCGTCGATACATGATCCTGAAACTCGATATCAGAAAAATCAACTAGGAGGATTTACCCAAAAGAGACAAATGTAATTGTCATTTAGAATTGCAAGAACATTTGCTTATTTCGTTTTAATTTTTTAATTTAGAGTATTTATTTATTTAATTAATTGTATTAATTAGTACTTAATTTTACCCTTCTTCAGTATATTTTCTAAATTATTCATATTGTAAAGGAAGCTGAGCTAAATAATATTTGCAAAAGACAATACAATAAGTAATAGTATATTGTAAAGTAACGCAAATGAAGATAATAAGAAGGCGAAACGAAAAAGAATACAAGATAAAAGGGCGGTTCCCAGGATCTTCTTTCTGATTAGCCCCGCAGTGTATATACGTGGCATTTGAGAGGATGATGCCAGAGCCTTTCACGAATCACCATTCGATTCTACAATGTGTTATTGTTGTGCTCGCGAAACAAAAGTTCTCTTCGATGGGAGAGGCAAATCGATGCGTTCGTGTTCTTTACGAGAAAGGTGTGAAAGTCGCGTATCTGATCATTTCGAATATTTCTAATATTCTCTGCCTCCTACTCTTTGTTCTTTTTTAAAATTCCTTTTAAATCCAATTTTATTTAAATCTAAATATAAATAGAATTCCATAAGCAAACAAAAAGTACCTAGTGTTTTATTTGATGTCTCCTCGGTCCATCCCTGGTCTATCCTCGGCTCTTTTGTAGCTTAATAAAATAACGAAGCTTACAACGAAACTTAAAGACGTAAACAGCCCGTGTAAAGCGGATTTCTAAGCTCACCACAGGAAAATGGCTCGAACCGTGCAATTTTCATGCGAAACGTTCAAAAATGCCGCGCATGGTTGGCGACGGTCAACTCAGCTCCTTTGTATGTTGGTGCCTGTCCATTCTCTAGCCAGTGCTGATCGTATCTGCATGCCACTTAACCATTACGTTTTACGAGGTGGATGGACATAAAGTGACTCTCCGTTCCTTGTTCAGCAACAGGTTACATCGTTGTCCCGCTTTATCCGGCGACCGGACAACGAAACAGAATATTTTTCCTCTTCTCCACGCGCGCAAACAGGATCGGCCATCCTGGCCTATCTGTGAAATTTACCACGGTTGTTTCAGCGCTTGGACACATTCTGCTGGATCGACAGGCAGCTTCTATGACCGGCCAGTGAATTTATACAGCATTTCCAGTTGACTCTTCGATAACCAAGAAGGCCTAGTCAAAAGAAAATAGAAACGATTGGTGTCGCTATATGGTGGGTTGGCAGCTTGGTAATGTAAGTATATTGACCGAAGGCTCGATAGTTTTGTTGAGAAATTTTTCATACGCTCGAGTAATAAAATTGCTTCTAAATTGCTGAAATAAGTTTGAATTAAATAATATAAGGTGGCATCAGATTTGAGTTCAGTTTAAATGAAATAAAGAACTTCATTAGCTGTGACGTAATTATTTTTGGTTAATAGTTGAAAAGGTATCATTAACATAATGGTAGAAACCTACATTATCAGTTAAGTTTACTAAATGTTTAAAAATTCTAGCTCAAAACTTATTCTCTTAATTTTAATAATCGAAATTTTCGTTTTACTTGGAATAGGATAGAAATTTAATATATATATAACTAATTCTTGTGTTAGCTTACAATTGTTTCATATTTCTCAATTCGTCCAATGTATTGAATAAGATAATGGGAGAGTTTTCATTATCGATACATTTCTGAATACAGATCGATACAATGAATTTAAAGACCATCGAAATGCATCAAAACACTATCTGTAAATTTATTTCCGATTATTAACTCCAGTCGATTAACTGATTATTATTTGAGGTTGTGTGCAGCGAAGTTGCGTGTAGTATTTATATGCAAATTGTTAATTCGTTACCGAACATCGTATACATATCATTGTTATATGGAAACGAGAGTTTCGTTAGCTGTGTTTCGTCTCCGGTGTTTTTATTCGAATTGTCTATGCCTATTGGAATGCAGCTGCTTTCCGTTTATTTGCTTTTATGAAGTTTTAAATGTACACGATATGCTGTAAACGACCGATCGAAATGTCATGGCTATCCACGTTGGTATTGAATTATTTTCCGGAATAGAGATTTTTCTTCGTGCGTCTGCTTTTATCGATATTTCGCATTGGATACATATATTACGTCTCGACATATGTAATAACCCGTAATAACATCGTAAACTATAATGATATATGATGTATCGATTGAAACGTATAATCGACATAATCGATATAAGCGATATAATCGATATAAACAATATAATCGATATAATCAATATAATCGATATAATCGACATAACGCATTGTCGTTTTAAATATTCAATTACCGTAAGATGTCTCTCGCAAGTCGATAGTCATGCGATAGAGATAAAGCAAACTACAGCAGGTTGTTTTAAGTTAGATTGAGTTGTGGCGAATTGGGATTAACCGAAAGATGGAGCGGAGTGTACGTGAGTTGAAGCAGGTTAGAGTTAGTCGAGGTAGATTTTTAGTACGCTTTTCGTCACTCGTGGTTGTGTTGAAACGAGTTACGTTAGTCTAACCGGTGATAGTGTCAATTAGAGTGGTTTCGGGGCAAGTTAGAACCAGAACTAAAACGATTTAGTCCAAGTGAATTAGAACAATTTAGGGTGGCTCAGTATGGGTCGAAACTGTTGAGTGAGTTCAGCGATAGTTATGTTAGGTCAGGTTCGATTCGAGCGAACTCGTAGTGTAGTGGAAAAACATCGACGACCATGAATACCAAATTTTGACAGAATGGCTAATATACAACCCGTTCGAGAAGCATCGATCGATGCACACTTCGCTGTCAATCTCGATGATACTTCGTTCGTGATTGAGATGTCGACTTTCTCATATTTATCCGCACGAAAAACATTTCGATGTCGAAGTTGGAAAAACTGAATTTTGTTCAGGTATTCACGCTGTTCCAAGCTTTTAATAACCTTCTTTTTAAAGTAAAATTTGTAACTGGAATTGGTATGTGATATACAATTATTCGTTGTTAAAATTAGTACAAAGTCGAATTTTACGTGTCATTTCGAAGATGTAGGAAAGTACACATCGAAGGGAATCCAATTTGATTTTTATATATTTTTCGATCGACCATCAAATAGGGAAGCGAAAAACTTTCAAGGGTTACGCGTGACTCGTATAGTTTGTATAAAATTCGTATTGATATACGATCTCTTGATCCATACGGGTTTATAACTGCGGTCGATATACGATCCTCGAACTTTCGAGCTCGAGGACTGAACATTTTCCATGCTTCATTTCGTGCCTGTATTTTCTAGCATTGTTACATAACTATTAGCAGTCGCGCGCTAATCCTTATTTATAGGTTATAAACGATTCCGTAGATG